CATAGATTTTGGATTTCAAACATGATTTTTTTAAGTCGGACTGTACCACCACATTCGTTGGAAATTTATCAAGGCAGATAAAGACTAATGATTTTTTCTGAGAAATAGGGACATTTCTTACTCCTTTTTTTTTTCCCCCACAGAAGCCTTTCTTAAACCCGAAACCGTCGTCAAAACAAAACAAAACACGCTGACATCACAAATGAAAGAAATCAGACATCCCTACATATACTACAAGATAAGGGATGGTACACACTAACATTGCTGAACGCTGCATTTGGGTAGCTATTCCTTAAGTTAAATAAACTACCTTCATGCCATTTATATTATAAGATATCTGTTGGCATTAGATATTCGTTCTAAGAATATTAAAAACTGGCAGGGGCAGCCGGGAGCGGTGGCTCACGCCTGTAATCCCAGCACTTTGGGAGGCCAAGATAGGCAGATCATGAGGTCATGAGATCAAGACCATCCTGACCAACATGGTGAAACCCCGTCTCTACTAAAAAATACAAAAATTAACTGGGCGTGGTGGCGCGTGCCTGTAGTCCCAGCTCCTTGGGAGCCTGAAGCAGGACAATTGCTTGAACCTGGGAGGCGGATGTTGCAGTCAGCTGAGATCGGGCCACTGCACTCCAGCCTGGTGCCTGGAGACAGAACAAGACTCTGTCTCAAGAGAAANAAAAAAAAAAAACTGGCAGGGGCAAAAAAAATCAGACAGATGAATAAAAGAATAATGAAATAGAGGCTTAAAACCACCTATTTAAAACATTCATATATAGTTTTGTGTGAATCACTATAGGGAACAGTATAATGCAAATCACAGACATTTTGACTTGAGCCATTTAGATAAGACGAGAAAAAAAGAGGGTGCAATCTGTTTTTTCTTTATTTTCACTTATCCAAATAATTTTATTTTTACTTTTGCATTTCTATGAGTTCAAATACAAGGCTACTAAGATTCCAAATAGGAAGGATTCTTAATATGTTATAATACAGCCCAAACTGATCAAATGGTATCATGTCAGGTCCTCACACTTAGGTGTGATTATTCAAATAATATACCTAGGTCAGCCCATCAAAAATGCAGGCTTAGCCCCTTGGAATGTTTTTAATAAGATATAATGTGATTATCACATAAAAGACCATGTACTGTAAAAAGACTGGATTCAAACAAATAATTGAGAAACAGCATAAATAAAGCCACTTTGCCTGTAGGAACTGTAACACTGGCTTTATACAGTAGGAGTTTTTAGAAAGGGCATAGTTCTTAAACTTTAGGGTATATCAGAATCACCTGGAGAGCTTGTTTTAAAACACAGATTTCAACGTCTGACTCCCAGAGAGTCTAATTTTTGTCTACTGCTGCTGCTGCTGGTCCACAAGTCATAGGCTGGATGGCACTGACCTAGAATACTATCACAGGAATATTAATGCAGCTAATTCTTCTCATTGCGGTTCACCTGGGATTAATATAGGTGCTAAGCCAGCTATGTGTGCTCTAGATAGAAGAGAGGCTACACGTGTTTTTCCTTGATTTGCCAGTGGTTTTGTATTTCAGTTGTGAAATTAAAATATTGATGAACTTTGAAAGGCTTCAAATTTGTTTCAAATATTGGCAGAAGGTTCACAATACAGATGGTTTTCTGGCCTTAGGTCAGATATATTTACTCCACACATGAGGATCTTTGGAAACTTTACCCAAATTACTGTTGCAATTGTTTATTTCAGAACTAGGCAACCAGATCCACCCTTTGCCTCTTGAGTAGGAGCAGCTTTGTTTTGCAAAGGCAGTGGCTAAAAAGGACCAGACGTTTCCATCAGCTGTGTAGTCATTGTGTTTTTTAAGGGAATTATAGCATTGTACAATATTTTTCTTTGCAGCTTAAACACTGAGCAAACTCAGACATCCAGAGATGCTAAAATGAAAAATCTGTTTCTCCTTTGTTTGCCACTTGCCAAGTGAACTCTGTCAGACGCCACATCCTATACATCTCAAGTAAACAAAATTACGCTTAATGTGTTGGCAACGTCTGTCACAAACGCTCCTCCGCCTATGGCTTAAATGTATTGCGTTGGAGTGGATTTCACAGTGTATTTAAAATAAGGCAAAGTTATTGTTGTGGGTACTGGCTTTGCCTTACTAACCATAAGGTTTTCTTTTTTTTTTTTTTTGTATTTATTTATTTCATACAAAATACAGGAGGGATTCTGTAGTTTTTAATAAGCAACGTGGCTGGCAAACGCCCCCCTTTGCTGTGGGTAACCAATACTAAATCTCTCTAAGTTGTCTGTCCTAGATAAAGTATCATTAGGAAAATTCATTTCTCCCACGGGATTCCTGTTAGTTTATTTCCAGTTTACTCCCTGACTACATTTCTTCTGTTCCCTTAAGATTAAAAAATTTGTGTTCTTAAAAATTTGTGGGAATTTTTTTCACTGAACATTTTTATTGAATGTGAACAAGAATGTAGATTCTTACATATTTTCCCCCAAGAATCTTTATTTTATTGTTCTTTGTGTGCAGTAACCGATCTGTTTAGAGCGAACTGTTCATTGATGTGCAATACTGGTCTGCTTAAAAAGAGCTGTTCATTTTTGTGCAATAACTGGTCTCTTACATTATTTTCCCCTCTGTGCCTAGTGTTGCTATTTATAATTCCAAATAATGACAAATCCCTTCTTACTCTTCCTTTTGATTGTCAGGTTTCGGGTTTATACACAGAAGCAGCATTCACTCTCTGACATCTGTAATCAAATGAGTCCCCAAACACTGCTTTCAATGAAAAGATTCTCAAAGAGACCAGACAATTCTTCCAAAATTAATTCCAAGTGCAGGCATTAAATCCTTCTCTTCTTACCATGCATGAATTTTGATTTTTCTGTAACATGCTCGCCTACCTCATTTGCATATTGCCTTTATAAAAAAGACTAAAGTCTGTCCCACACACCCCTGAGAATGAGACAACCTCTAGGGCATTAAGAAGAAAGTATCCTGACCAAACACAATTTGTTTTTTATCTCTGATTTACATGAATGATCCTTTTTGTGGCTAGAGCAAGCTGTTTAGAATCCAGGAGTTTCTGGGATTGTGACAGTTTAGCTGCATGTTGGAATGTCTAGGGACAAATATTCTAAAAAGATAACTTGTCTTGAGTTCAAGAAGGGACTTGAAGTCTTGCACCTGCTAAGCATTAGAATGTTGTCAAAGTGCCACTTTTTGGTTGGAAAAAAAAAAAAAGCTTCAGGACTTCCATCTTAACTCCGAGGTTATTCTATAATTTATCCCGAGGTGATTTAAGAACCCCCCTAGTTCTTCTTAAAGTGTTTACTTCTGGTCTGACACAACAAATATCTGAAATGAAGGCTAGTAATTATTTTTTTAAAAAGGAAAACAAAGATACTTTTGTCAAAAAGATTCAGGCGTCAGAAAGAAAAGTGATGTATCTCTGAATTATAATTAAGTAAAACCTTATCTTACCGTGTTTCTCATTTGAGGCATCCTGATTAGTGACAATTCACAGAAGCATCGAGAAATTCAAACAACACAAATGCACACTTGTGTATATTTACAAGCTATAGACCTTTAAAATAACATATATGTTTTCTGATTGATTCCTGCTCAAAAGTCTAAATGTCTTTGTGAACAAAGCTGGCCCTGTATACCAAGCGTTTCCAAATGTTTGGCTCAATTTGTATTATCCCTAAAAATTAATGGGAAGGAGCCCATAGGGAAGGCTGAGTAGTGGTCTGATCTTTTTCACAGATAGAGTCTGGAAGTTTAATTTTACAATACCAGGAGGAATTGCTTAGTTTGAGCAAAAGCATTTTAGGAAACGCTTGTGGGTAGTTTGAGTGCTGAGATCTGACTGTCTACATGCATGTGTCCAGCGAGCAAAATAATGTTTAGGGAAATAATATATTCAGAAACATAATCATTTTATCATAACTGGTTATTTAAATGCATTGTTATAGAACGTATTTCGACTTTATCATAATCTTTAAATGAACATTGAAATTATATAATCTTGAAGATTCCATCCAATTCTAGCTTTTGGAGTTTGATTTTTAAAAATATTTTTTCATTCTCCAAGTTAATTACTGCAAGGAAAGTGGAAGGGTAGAAAAAGAGGAATGGAAGAATTCAATGACTTAGCTCCATTCTTCACTCACCATATGATAGTTTGCATATGGATAGACGTTTTAAAAAATGTCTGTTATTTCTTTTATCCCCAACAATGAAAAAAATTAAAAAAAAAAAAACTTATTCTAGAAGTCCACCTTCCTTAACATCTGATTGGAAACTTAACACTTTTGCTTTTAAAAAAAATTGTGGATGGACATAAAAATTTGACCAGCTTTTAACAGAGATTGGTATTCTTCTGTCTTGTGTCTAAAATATACATAGAAAACAGGTCAAAAGGGTAGGAAGAAAACAAATGGGAAATCATAATTTTGATTTTGAGATGACCAGTGGTGGATATTAATATGTCCTTCAAAGGGATTCAGTTTAGAAACCCATGTGGGCCAGCATTACCCTCCTTAGTGGAAGATTGTATTGGAGTGACCAAGAATTATCTATATATTAAAAATTATATATAAATGACCTAAACCAAGTCTTATCCAATAACAAGAAAATTAGAGAATTTCCACTAATATTTCATATCTTTCAGTCAGAAAAGTTTGTATTTAGAACAATGGGCAAGAGGATATATATGATTTTTTTAATGGATTCTAACTTAAGTGGTAAAAATGTTAAGTGGCAGATATTTTAGACACATCACAGCTAAATACCACAGAAGAGAGGAAGTTGTTAATGCCGTCTATTTAGACAAGCACAAAATGACATGCACGGACATACAGATTATATACCGTTGAATTTTGCCTTTTTAGTGAAAAAGTAAAAACATTTGATGTTCACACAGTTTACTGTGTTTATTTGTAAGAAGTCTCCTTCCTTGTAGGATACGTTTTCAAATGGACATTGTATATACTTGTAGGGTGCTGTGATTACACCAACCATGGACCATCCCATGTCAATGCAGCCAGCCAACATGATGGGCCCCCTGACACAGCAGATGAATCACCTTTCGTTGGGCACAACAGGAACGGTGAGTTGGAGAGATTGTTTTGCTTCCTCGAACTTTTTTGATAAAGTTGTGATACTCTCCATTTTCACTGTCATTATCAGTGAAACTATGTCTACCATATTCATTGACTAACACACCTTTCAGGTTTCAGTATGAATAAGCTGCATTCTGCATGTATGCTCAATTCCAGGGCACAAGTACTCACATTGGCCAGGCTAAAATTCTCTTATGTCACGTTTAAATTTCAGTCACTTCTTGATTTTATGGTACAACGTACCAGATATGATGTCTGATTTTGGAAAGGTGTCCTTTTACATGCACCTGCAGATCGAGACCCTGTGACTTAATAAACTCAACCCTGGTTTTCTTTTCCCAGCTGCTTACCAGTTCAGCCACTGCATTATTTATTATCAGGTTATATACAAGCGAGGGGCCAAATCTATGACTGATACTATTAAATCAATAAAGAGTAATTGAGAACCTGGTATAATCAAGTTCTTTTAATCCTCCTTCTTTTTGATAAACTGATATAGATGGATGTTAAAAAGAAGGAAGGAAATCTAATGTGCTTGATCTTTTCTTATAGGTTGGGATAGTTTTGATTAGTCATCTTTCTTCTTAGAGAACAAAAGCGTGTTGAAAAATACCTATTGCAGCCTGGATTTTATATTAATGAGGCACTTTAAATCATTGGAAAAACTTTATGTTTGTTTTTTTTAAAAGATAATTCCCCAAATGTTCAAGGAGGCAAAAGTCTGATACAATTAACAGTACTGAAAGTCTGTTATTTGCCATTATAGAGAACAATGAAACCATGAAACCTAACCACATATATAACACCTTCAGTTTTATTTTCATGTTAGTGAAGATAATCTTGTCATTTGAATAAATATAGAAATAAGAAATGTATTTTCTTTTGACTGAGGCAGCTTAAATATTGTAGAAAGAGCACTGGGCTAGGAGTCAGAAATCCTAGATCGAAAGCTTAGTAAACCCTGTTGTTTCTTTCCGTTTTGGAGAAAATAATAAATCTAGTCTGAATTTTTTTCTCTATCTAGTTGAAATATTGAACTTGATTACATATGAGGCCCTTTAAGTTTCAATTCTATATTTTTAAGCTAATATGTCTTACAGTCACCACCTCTGTGATTCTTCAGTTATGCTGACTTCATCTCAAAATATCAATATACAATATGCACACTAGCTGTCTATCTGGAATTTTACCCTATAGCAATGGCTTGCTTGCCAAATAAATCTTGTTGACTCATAGGCTTTTAAGAATATAAGAAGTTTCTGTCTTGTCAACTGAGCCTTCACTTACCTGTACTAAATAGGAAGAAAGTCAATATAATTTAATGGAAAGAGCTGCATTCTTTCAATAAAGAAATTTTAGTTTTATTAACATAAACAAAGTGCCTATCACTAAGATCTCAGCTGTAGAACCTATAAAAAGCAGTTGATGATATCTTAACCTGTCTGAATGCTTGGGCTACATCAAATGATCTCTTAGGTTTCTGACCTATACTTTTAGAAGTTGTGTCTAAGATATACTTAACTATATGCTGTGGTATAGCTAATTTTCATCATGGAGATAGAGTTTGAAGATACCATTTTTTGCTTTTAGCAAAGTGTAAGGATTATTTGTCATTATTTTGTGCATTACTAATAAGCAGGTCCTAAGAATAGCATCAGAAGGCCTGCAGTTTCTTATTAATACATTGTAGATTTTCCTCCATGTCAGCCTTTGTCTCCTTCAGTGATCATAAATTCTGAATGAGTGAAGTAATGCAAGTTTCCTGTATTGAATGACAATCTGGAATCTGATTAAAGAGAGCATTATAATGCAAAACATAGAAACTCTTTATAAGTTTTACTCATTTGGTTCAAAAGTAAAGCCAACTGACTTGGCTAAAATTTAAGTTTGCAAACTAGTAAAAATATAAGAGCCAGTTAACTAAGCATATGACTGAATCCTTTAGGAAAGTAAAAAATAAGCTAAAAGATATAGAACAGACAGAATTATAATAATTATTGATTCAGTAACATATATTAATTTTTTTATTTGAGCATTTCAACAAGAACACATTTGTAAGGGACCATGACTTTTAGGTAGCTGGTAATAGCCAAATAGTTCAATAATAACATATAACACTCTCTCGGAGAGTAAAAATTTTAAGCATGTGGTTTATTATTAAAACCAAATTTTCTCCCTTTACATTCGTACTAAATAATGCTTAGATACATTATAATATTTGTGTTACCCGATGTTACGGAAAAGTGTAAAATTTAGTAAGATTCTGAAGTGGTAAAGAGAAAATAGAATTACTTTGTTGATTCATTTAACAAAATTAAGTGTGGTTGGTGTCCAGAATACTGTTATATTTTTTATCTTAGACTGTCACTCTTATTCTTTGATATGCCCTCATAGATTCATTTTATCTGAATTTTGATTGGCATTTGGAGTGGCTATGATCCAGTTGAGTTTGATTTTTTAAATCCGATTTTTCCACCTTATTCCATCTTTCCAACATTTTCACTGATGGGGTGGAATCCTGGCATAACGGAAAGATCAGTGGGCTTTGTTTTCAAACTTGAGTTCAAAACGTGGCTTTGCTCCTTGATAGTTCCGCATGTTTAGGCAGGTTACTTAACCTCTCAGGACTTTTGCTTTCTCGTTTTACAAAATGGGAAAAATAATGCTTGCATCCCAGAGACGCTGTGAGTGTTAATGAAATGATAGCATGCAGCATGCTTACGCAGTGTGATACCCACTCTGTGCTTCTCAGATGAGCTGCCCACACCCTTTACCTGCAGTAGCTTCGAACTGGTGGGAATCTGGTTTAGGTACCCAGAAGTGATGTAGCACACTGTAAAGTCCAGGGCATAGCTCACTTACTGTCTCCATTTATTTGGCTGCTAACATACTCTTTTAGGGCAGCAAACTCAAAAGCCTGTAGAGTCCAGCCAGGTTATATTAATGAATGAAGTAGAACAAGTTCAAGCAGCAACCCTTGGAAACATATAATCAGTTTTTAAATATCTGCCTATATCACAAAACATAGTCATGCCATATAAACGTATATGATGTTGGAGATTATATTTTAGAGAAGACGTATTTTCCATGCGATAGTAATACTATATCTGCTTGAGTTTTGGGCAAATAGAAGTGCGAGGGTGGTGTCTTTGGCAGCCTGAAATATGGATGCCTTGTCGGAAAAAGACAGCCACTACTGTATTAGTACAGCTATTCTGACGGCTATTGCCACATGGACATGCGGACCCAGGGTGGTCTCACTTTCTAACTTTTAAAGATGAGCTGAAGTCTTGAGCTTTGATTGGAAATTTCTCTATATTTAAATATTGGACCCAGTTTGTCCCAAGAACTCCCATTTTGTGACTCCTGCCCGAGGTTTTTCTGGTTCTCCTCACACCTCTCTAGTAGCCATTCCTTCTCTTCCTGCACAGATTGGTAAGCCAAAGCTTCATTTTTAACATACTTATTCCGTATGATTTTCATAAGCAATCTCATTCACTCTCATGATTTTAAATGCTGGCTTCCCTGTTGGCTCCTAAATCTCAGTCCCCAGTGCTAACCTCATCTAAGAATTTTAGACTCATGTATCTAACTACTTGCTAAGTATCTCCGTGTACATCTCCCTCAGACACCTCAAAGTCAGCATGACCCAAACTAATTTCATGAGCTTTCCAGAGCTTCCTCCAAACTGAAACCTCTTTCTCTTGTATGTTTCTTCTCCCTGTTTCCTTTCAAGCTAATGCCACGACCCTTTGCCCTGTAGCCAAGCCATACATCTAGGACCCAATCTAGACCCTCTCTTTCCCCCTCACCATCATACACAATTACGTTTCAAGTCCCACTGATTTTGTCTCGTAGACATTGGTGAAATACATTCTTTCTTCCGCATTTCTAGAGTTTCTTCCCTGGAACTCATTTGATTAATTGTAACAGTTCCCTAATTGTTCTTCCTGCTTTCAACGTCAATTTACTCCAATCCATTTTCTCTACCCTGTTGTCACAGGTAGTCAATCTAAAATTATCTGACTGTGTCTCTCTCCTAACTAAAACATTTCAGATGCTTTCAGACACCTGAGCTCACAGAAATTCTGCAAAACAAGGTGTGAACAGTGACAAGTAAAGATTAATATAGGAACCTAAGCTCTAGAAACAGATGGGTTCCAAGGGCAGAGGAGAGAGAGATCCAGTGAATAATCCAGAGAAGGAAGTGATCAGGGCTGATAGAGTTGGAGCTATATTAGAATTTTCTATTTTTAGAAGGGGGATCTTGGCCACAGGCTTAGTCCCACTCTTCTTTTTAAAGTCCCTGGCTAAAGGAATTGTACTAGGCCAAAACCTCTTTTTCCTTTACATAAAAGCAGATATATTTGTCTCCCATGACCTCAAATTTTGAAATGAATGCCATGTAGTTTAATTAACCCTTCTCTACAGTTTGCCACCTCAAATGTTTATTGTTCAATTCTCTATTTTTAAGCTAGACAGAATCTGCAGGCCTCAAAAAAAAAAATGCATTTTATGCAAGCAGTGTAACTGTTTTATTTCAGGGCTCTGCTGACCCTGAAGGATTTTCCTAGCTTCTCTACTTGTGTTTATTTTTTTTTTCACGGTAGTCCCTTGATGGAACCAAAGCCCCATTATCCATAACGTCTTATCACTTTATTGTAAGCTTTAGCAGAAACCACTGGAGATTTTACTGTGTTCTGAGAACCTCCAAATTGCATGACAATCTTGTTTTACAAGTTTCTTATCTCCTTTTCGTTTGTTCAGTTGCTGGTCACCAGTGGCTTACAATGTCACCAGAATCTGTTGGAAGAAATAAAAAGTTTTTGTTCTGCAGGCTTTGTGTCTGCAGTTTGATTTGTGTTCTCCATGCCGCTGGTGATTTGTGATATCATCGAATTCCCGCAGTGTAACCATAGTCGCTCACAAAAATAACCTTGTAATTGTACTCCATTTATTTCCCACAGTTCTCTAGTGTTTTTCAGCCACACAACTCCTTGACTGCTCCGAAATTTTGATGATATCAGGTGAAAATCCTCAATTATTCACTTTGTTTAGACATTGTGATTTTTTTTCTGTTATTAGGTATGAATATAAATATTAAGATAGAGTTTTAAAAAGCTAACAGGATGTTAAATGGACTCTGATTCAGGAAGCAGTATCATAAACGGTAATGAGTACGTCTCTTAAAATTTTAGGAAAAAAGATTAATCAGTTTAAAACACTCAAATACAAAAGAGAAAATATATCTAAAAAGATAATAGTTTTAAAAAATTGGTTTAGTCTTATTGTAAAATGAAAGACCTTCAGAGGGAGTCTTATACATAATAAATGAGCTGGCATTAAGTCTAGTAGTATGAGTATGTATTTGTAAATATTACACTTTTGCTGTTTAAAAAAAATGAATTCTGAGGGCCAGGTATGGTAGCTCATGCCTGTAATCCCAGCACTTTGGGAGGCCAAGCTGGGTGGATCATGAGGTCAGAAGTTTGAGACCAGCCTGGCTAACATGGTGAAACTTCGTCTCTCCTAAAAATACAAAAATTAGCCAGGCATGGTGGTGGGTCTCTGTAATCCCAACTGCTTGGGAGGCTGAGGCAGGAGAATCACTTGAACCAGGGAGGCAGAGGTTGCAGTGAGCTGAGATGGCGCCACTGCCCTCCAGCCTGGGCAACAGAGGGAGACTCTGTCTCAAAAAAAATGAAAAAAATTCTGAGTTTACATAAATTACCAACATAGTGAAAAAACATGAACAGATAGTTGATAAAACAGTAAATAGAAGGCTAAAGAACATGCGCAAAAATTGTAATTAAAGAAATAGAAACAGTAATTTATTCAAATACACACCAGATGTATCCCATCAAATAAAGTTATCAAAATATAGTACAAATTGCTAATGAAGGTGTAGGAAAATAAGCATTCTCTAGCACTGATTACTTCAGGATAGGAATCTAAATTTGTATAAATATCAGTTGGATTGAAAGGTAGTCAATCAAGATACTTCAAAACATTTATACTGACTGACCAAGCACTTACAGTTTTGAGAAGCTTCTTTGGAAATAGTCTAAAACAACAGAAAAGTCATTATACCTCAAAAATATTTGATTCAGTGTTCTTTATAATGTCTAACAAAGAAGAAGAATTAAATATATTATAATCCATCCATAAACCAGAATGTAACGTAGCATGAAATCATAAGAGTATTAAATAGCTAGGAAAATGTGTTTTTTATAATGTCAAATTTTAAAAACTTGGAAGGCTATGGTGGTTCCTGTGTATTATCGCATCACTTTGGGAAGCTTAGGCAGGAGGATTGCTTGAGGTCAGGAGTTGGAGACCAGTGTGGATAACACAGCAAGACCCCATCACACTAACAAAAAATAAAAATTAGCTAGGCATTATTGTGTGCCCTGCAGTCCAACTACTGAGGAGAAGGAAGCAGGAAGATCAATTAAGCCCAGGACTTTGAGGTTACAGTGAGCTGTGATTGTGCCCCTGCCCTTCAGCCTGAACAATGGAGTGAAACCCAGTCTATAGAAAGAAAGGAAAAAGGAAGGAAGGAACGATGTAATTTTGTACGTGTGGAGCTCAATATCACCTATAAAAATGTATTATAAGGCTATAGAGAAATGTAAAAACAAATGTGGCTATTTCCAGATGATGGGATTAGGAGTCATTTTTTTAATCATTATGCTTTTCTACATTTTCCAACTATTCAGCAATAAACATTATTGGCTTTTATCATTTACTTTAAAATGTCATAAGTATATTCTTGGAAAATGACTAGTAGCATGGTCCAATAATTAACTGTTTGTTTTTTTTTTTTTTTTTTTTTTGAAGTGGTAATTGATGCATGATTGCAATTTTTCAAAAGGTACTAGGAATTGCCATTATTTTAAAAATTTGGAAACACTTTAAAAATGATTCTAATTATTCTAGAATTGGGAATTATAATCAACTCAGTAGTTCAGGTACCTGTCGCAAGAAACAAAATAACTCATGTGTCTGGTTTATTTGCATATGAATCTTTTGATCATGTTTGCTTTTGTTGCTCCAAGTGCCTTGCAATGTTCAAGTTCGAATCTGTCTTCTCACATGCCGTTTACTCAGGAGAGGGTGATTAACACTGACCTTTTGTGGCAAGGAGATGAAAGTGAGAAATATGGGATAGTCCAAAAGTTGTCACATGGGTGGAAAAAGAAAATTTGGGATTTTTGTTTTTAATAAAGGTTGTATACATGGAGTAAGAGTCACACAAGAGCATCTATTTAACCATGTGTTGGCAGTTGCTTTCAATCTAAACAATATCAAGTTTCTTTTAGAGTTTACCCCTCCAAGGGGAATGGGGGAAAAAGTAGAATTTTCCATTTTTAGAAGGAGGACCTTAGACCTACGGCCGTATCCCAATCTCCTTTTTAAGATGCCTAGCTAAAGAAATTTCAGTGAGCTAAAAGCTCTTTTCCATCTTTAAAAAAGCAGATCTATTTTGTCCTATAAAACTCCTAATTTTGAAATGATTGCTATGTTGTTTAATTAAGCTTTATCTAGAATTTGACACCTTCAGTGCTAGGAGACTTGGGATAAAGATAACCATCACGTTCAATAGATTCTGTTCTGTGTATCTCTGCTTCCACAGTTACAACACACAAAGCTTTTTGGCCTTGACGTGAAAGCCCCCTCCGCTCTGCCTCACCGACAACCCCTGGGATCAGAGTTGGAGCTGAGTAATAAATAACGAAATTTTGCCTTCAAAATGTGTTAGCCTTCACAGAGTATGAGAATGTACACATTTTTTATTTTTCTCTTTTAAATTTTAGTTCTTTCTTTTGTTCTCTAGAACCTTGTTTCGTATCATGCTCTCAGCCCCCTGTAGATGGGCTGCCATGTAGAACTCTTTTGTCAGCCAGGGAGGGTAAAAATTTTACATTGATTCCCTAAGGGAGGTACCAAACAGACTGTGGAAGATGACAGTGTTTCAGAACAAACCGTAGAGTCCCAGCAAGTCTAACGGGACCTAATAACATGTACACTGTGGTGGTAATAGGAACCATGGTATAGAATGCAAATGAGGAATCATAATGCCTTTACTGCTAGAAGGCAGAGGGGTCAGGCAACCGTATGACACACAGCGGGCTCTTCCACGTGTTAGGACTGATTCTATTTTATTTTCTTTTGTACTTCATTGCATTCTTTCTCATGCTCTTTTCATTCAAAGATTCAATCCCAAGACAGGATTATGATACTCCACCAGCTGTTGTGTCAGGTAGGAAAATTCTAATTCCTTTAAGACTGGATTGGAGGGGAGAGATGGAGGTTGCCTGGTTTTTTTTTTTTTCCAAACTCTTTAAAGCAGTGATTCTCAACAGAGGTGGGTGCAGGAAATTTGAATTCCAGTTTGGAAGGGGGCATATGTAGTTCAGAAACACATACTTAATATTACAATTCAGTTATATGTCTGGAAAATAAATATGTTGCATTTTAAATAGAAAGTAAAAACTCAAAGCCATTTTGTGTGTCAAGGATACACAGAAGATAGAATCTGTGTTCTGTGTATCAATGATTCTCAGTATTAGACACGGTCATCAAATTCCTGAAAAGTGGGAAAATAATTTTATGTTTAGCAAAAAAGGGCACAGATTAATAAAAAATAGTTTGAGAAGCACTGCTTTAGAGACCAGAATTCTTCTAAATTGGAAAATCATCCCATTTGCTTGCTCAGCACCCTGCATAAGGTCTGACACATAGTAGGTGCTTGATATAATTGTTTGTTGAATGAATCAAAACTTCAAATTCGTTCCTAAAGTGATTCTTTTGGATATTGAAAGAAAAACTGCCATTATTCCATTTGTACAACAAAGTGGCAGAGGTTGATTTGAAAATATGTTAGTATCTTGAGGGTTTTAGCAATATTTAAGTTGTTTCATAAAATTCAGTAGTACAGTCCGTAATAGGATATGTCTGTGTAAAGAGGTGGATTTTTACTCTGAATTGCACAGATCTTCTTGGGCTTTAATTTTAATTTTGAATTTTGGTTGCTTGCGAAGAGAAAAATGGGCACAATTTTTTTTTTATTTTTGTTAATTTTTTAATTAAATAAAATACTGGCAATCTGAAGAGCATGAATTCTTTGATTCTTTGTCATGTCAGACAGCAAGGTCATAAAATTCAGAGCCAAAAATGCATTGGAAAGACAGAATAAGAAACAAAGGTTAGAAACAGCCTGAAAGAGCCCACAGAGCCATTGATCTGGCAACCTGATGGTAAATTTCAAGCAGGGGATGTCTTGCTTTTGACCACTTGTTTGCTTGACCCAGCATCTGAAGGGTAATTATGTTTTAATTTCTTATAGCCTTGTTTAGTTATGGTCATGGCTGAATACTCATCTTGAAACTTCAATTAATAATGTCCCATTGAGGAAAAATAAGTTAGATTTTGGCTATGAGTCACTTTGGTCTTCTTCAGAGTCTCTATAATAAATTGCCACTCATGAAAATATCACTTAGTTTTTTTTTCCCCAAAGTGTATGTTCTGTCATATCTTAACATACTGATTTCATTGAGGATTTAGAGGCCCAGGGAAGAGATTTTGTTTCATACATGGTATTTTTGCTTAACAAGAGAGATCTACTCTTGATAACTTAACAATATTCATAAAAGTAAAAGACAGAAACTAAAATTTACCTTCAACTAGGTTTGTTTCCTGATTTTACTTTCAAGAACATAATGGAAAAAGCAAGCAAATCATTAAAAGTACTTATCAGGTATGAGTCATAGGTCAGGCTCTAAAAGTCAATTGAGGCAGAAGATCCAACTGAAAATCTACGCTCAGGAGTTCTCACCTGATGGCATCCACAGGGCCACTGAAAGTTCTAGATCAGATAAATGACTTGATAAAAACAGTGCTTTAAGAAACTTTAATCTGAAAGTTTTATGTGGTCTTGAGCAAGAAGACATAAAAATCACATGGAACAGTTAAAAAGGTTATGCATGATATATTGTATATAACAAAAAATCATCCCAGGATCTCAGTAGTGGAGTACAAAGGAAGGGACTAATATAAAGCTAATATGAAAAATAACATTATGGGAGATTTCACAGTTACTTTCCCCTTATAAGATTTAAGTGGTAGTTTGACATAAGTTTCACAGACTTCTTTGGTCTACATCTAAATAGAAATAGACTTGCCTTCCTAAAATGCTTGTTAATTGGCTAGTAGGACAACTTCAGTGACTTTTGAGAAACTGAATATCTTTTTCCCAACCATTGGCCACATCAGGAAAGTGAAACAGTATTGTAATATCTCCTTCCCATATCTTCCAATATGCCAATATTGGACAACACAAATAATCAATTCTTTGCCAGTGTAGGATCTAACTAAATTGCTTTAATTTATTGAAGTTCAGATATCTGCTTGATAATTTACAGAGACATAACTCAATTTCATTCAATCATTATTTCAACATTTATTGAATAACTTCTGAGCGCTAGGCAGTACACTCAAGTGCTGGGGATAAAAAGATGAACAGAAAATAGACCCCTGATTAAAATATTATGGCACAATATAAAACCATTGTAACATTAATAACATCATTTATTTGTGTTGTTATTTGTGATAAATGCATGAAGTACAGAGAATCAAGAATCTAGAATATTTGAAATCTTCAGGAAGACAAATAGTGTTTTTCTGTGTAACATTAGGTGATATCATCTTCCGAGAGTGGGAGAGAGATGGCGCTTAGTAAGAATATAAGGAGAACAGAGATTTGGAAAACTATGGCCTAAGAAGGCCAACTAACAATCCATAGAATTTTAAGGGGTGGTAGCGGGGTTTCGTTTGAGGCTATGGACTATTTCTTTGTGTGATTAATCTATGAGGCTGTTTCATTTTCTATGGTCGTGTTCAATAGTCAAGAAGGCAGACAGGTGAATTAATGCAGGGTTAAGTATTTACTAGGTCAAGTGAGGAAAAAAAGAGTGTGCAGTGATGATATTGGCAAGGAAGTAGTTGAGTGGCAAACTATGGGTTTAAGGAAGAATAAAGAAGGAAGGAAAAAGAAGGTAGTGGTGGATGAGAGGTAGACAACGAAATACAGAGATTAGCAGTTTCAATGAGATGTACAGTGCAGGTATTAAAATAATAAACTATTTCTGAGCAAAGTTCGAATCGTGGGAGCAGGTGGCCACAGTGGATTTGAGGTGAAAGTGACAGAAGTTAAGGGAGTTAATTAATGTGAACATAAGAAGCGACAAATTAAGTGGAGTTATTTTTTGCATATTTTAGTTTTGTATTGTTTTGTGTGTTCTTTGCCATTAATAAATTATACATGGCTCAATAGTATTTTACTTAGGAAGAGTTTGAGGTAAATATTTAAGCTTCAACAATGAGTAAGTCTTATAAAATGTAATAATCTGGGAAGAAAGAGTTAAAGCAAAAGTGGTGATGTTCAAAAGAAAGAAGGAAGTTTGGGAAACAGAAGCATCTCTGATATATTTCCCTGGAGTTACCTCTCCTTGCCTCTATTTCTGCTAGGCTTTACCCAGCTCATTTCTAGGAGAGAAGACTGAAAGCTGAAACTACCCCCTACATTTTCACACCAAATCAGGAATCTACTCTCTTTTTAGTGTTTCTTTTCCATAACAACTCTACCTCCTTAGAAGATCCTCTTTTAAGCAGATGTTAGTGATAAAAATATGTAAAGGCATAGTAAAATATCATTTTCTATACATGGTTGGATTTTCTGAAACACACATGAAAACTGAAGATAATTTGTAGACAGATTTTTGTATCTGTTGTTTTCAGCTTACTTTCCTTGAATGACATCCACATGAAATGAAGCAAAAGACTACTATCACCAGATAACTAAAGTAGTATCAAAATGTATCCTCTTTTTCTAAAAAGCTTTGAGTTCAGAATTTGAACCTAGGTTTGAAAAAAAAAAAAAAGAAGAAAATGAAAAACGGGTCCCCAAAAATACTGAATAGAACCTGTAGAACTTGTGGAGCATATTTTCATTCTTTGCTCTAACCTTTTACGCATCAGCTGAAAGAGGCTTAAATAGTTAAGTGGTATCAGTACACCTTCATGATGAGATTTCACAGAAAAAGTTTGCATAAATCACAATATACCGGTCAAATAAAGTTTTTTTAAGTGTCGAATTTCGAGCCATGGAGTTGTGCTCTAAGAATAAAGTTCTTTACTGTGGCACTGGTGCAATTAAGACAAATTTCGCTGTTATAAACAGCAATGCAGTTCTCACATTGTTTTTGTTTGAGTAATATAAGTTTGCTCTAGAAATCCTCATTAATTTGGAATTGGTGATGTCCAAGCAAAGATTTAGTTGAAATCTATTTTTATGCTGCTGCTTCTTATGTGAGTATCACTGTGTAAAACTATCCTCTATCATCCGATGGAGGGAAAGGCAGAGTATCTTAGCTACTACAAAAAACAAGAAGAATAAGACCACCTTTCAAGCTCTAAGCAACATTTGTTTTCATAGATACCATACACTAATTACAAATAATTCCCATCTTTTAATTAAAAATCAAGTCCATTGGTACCTCCAATTAGCAACAATTAGCCATTAAATTGTATTTATTGTAAAAGACCTGACACTGTTGTGTTCCCACAAGCCACACATGAAAATCAGTTTCATTTCTTTGCTCAAGTACCATGCATTCATATGACTATAAAAGTGCTTTCTTTAAATGAATTAATGGATTATTTTTCTCTGTAATAAGTTCTTAGAGACTTTGCTCTACTTATTCTTCATTTATTCAACTAATATTTGCAAAGCACCTGCAGTGTTCCAAAAAACTAAGCGTAGGTCCATTTCTTGCCCTCAAAGAACAAAGACTTTAACAGAGTAAAATGTTATAAAGAACTGTTGCATAACATAGCATATGACTCTGCAGAGCAGGACTCTGTGCATGATATTAGTGCAAGTGTTTGACACACAGGCTTGTGCATGCTGAGTTATGTTCCTGCTGGTGCATTTATTTTGTTCACTAAATTATAAAAATTGAATCATTAAGACTTTTCCTGTGGGACCACAATTGTTATTTATGTATTAAAGTAGGCAACCGGACTGGTCTAATATATAAACATCACTGTTATTTAGCCCAGGTTTTTAATTTTCTTTTCAGAGGATGGGATAGGTGGGTGTAAAATCCTATGCCTTATCTTCTAACCCAGCAGGCATTTCCTGTAAAGGTCCAGATAGTAAATATTTGAGGCTTTGCAAGCCATACGGTCTATGTCGTAACT